CTGCGGCTTGTTAAGCCCAAAAAATGCGCACGTATCTTGGAGTTGTGTCGGATCGACACCGGATGTATTCAGACCTGATTCGACTTGGACCAGAATTCGTTTGGAAGCGGACCGAGACCACCTCAAAAAGTGGGTCTCGGTTCGGTTCTTTGGTCCGGACCAGGATTCGTTTGTGTGTATTCAGACCTGCATAAAAGATTCGGATCAGAGTTCCAAACGAATCCTGGTCCGTTTAAAGTGGAGCAAATGTGCAGGTCTGAATACACCCATAGACACACAGAGACACAGGTGAAACACATCAGGGCGGGGCAGGCAAACAGGACAGGAAGTACAACTAAAACCAAACCACAGAGAACAATGTCAAAATAAAAAATACAAAAATAAAACCCACACCATGACAGAACCTTTAACAATTGTACTGCACAAAACACCAGATTATGATGAAGTTTAACTTGTGTGACCAAGGTCTGGGAAATACCTCAAATAAATAAATATTCCTCACCAACTTATTCATTAACAAACAAACTGACAGATTAACAGTAGTTTTGAAAAGCTTTTTGTTGGTTTGTTTTCTGCTTGTTACGAAAAGTAATGTTTGGGAAGTTTCAATCATTCATTCATTACTGATTTTATTTCTCATTTAAAGGTGCAATGCGATATAGCCAAGTCAAAAGAGGCCCCGAGATGTGGCCTCACAAACACTAAGTAATCCATACCATTGCGCAATAGCAATATCTGTATATATATGCTTTTAATGCAGGCTTAGAAGTGATTAATATAATGTATATACTGTATGATGTTACACAAAAGCCTTAACGGTGCAGCTCCAGGTCTGGGGCCGAGCGAGCATTGGATGGTTGTGTACATATATTTTTATCTCAATCATAAAACACAAAACATATTAATGTGAATGGACAATAAACGTGCTTCCATAGCTGCCAAGTCAAACATATCATCACCATATACATTTTTTAAAGAGAATAAACAAATGATCAAATACAGGCGCAGCACCATATTAACCGCTTTTCATCATTTCAAATCATTTTCAGACAAACTCAACGTATTCTTGTCCAGCCCTGTATCAAAACAGCTGCTGTCTCGGAGTGTGGCGTTTCACAAAGGAAGAAGGACCCAAACAAAAACACTGCAAAAAAAATAATTCACTAAACAATAATCCAAAAGCAAAACTCAACTGAATGCATAAAAGAGCAAAGAAAAACCGAGGAACAAACACAAGAGGGAAAGAGCACAGGGAATTTAATTGGGACACACAGGTACAACACGTCAGGGCGGGGCCATCGACAAAACAGGAAGTAAAACTCTGAAATACACAGGAGAACCATGGATCTTTTATAACTGGATCTATTATAATAACTGGATAGGGTGTTACTAGCTTGGAGCTGAAGAACCATGTGCTCGGGGGATTCTGGCGGTACTGCAGACTAAACCAGACCAAATTCACGAGGGCTACCCAGAAATGTTCCCCATAGAACTCAATGTAAACTAAACAGCTCGACCTCAGCTGACAGAGAACCTGACAGAGAACCTACAGCTTTAATAAAGGTCGTATCTTGTGGGGATTTTAGTGTCCCTTGTCATCCTGAACTTTTTTACTTCTTAAATCCTTTAATTTTCTTTTATTCCACACTTTAGTGCCACAAACTCTGCTCGTCTGGCTCCCGCTCTAACTCCCGCTCTAACCCCCGCTCTAACTCTCGCTCTAACTCCCGCTCTAACCCCCGCTCTAACTCCCGCTCTAACTCCCGCCCTCACTCTCGCCCTCACTCTCGCCCTCACTCTCGCCCTCACTCCCGCTCTAACTCCCGCTCTAACTCCCGCTCTAACTCCCGCCCTCACTCCCGCTCTAACTCCCGCTCTAACTCCCGCTCTAACTCCCGCTCTAACTCCCGCTCTAACTCCCGCTCTAACTCCCGCTCTAACTCCCGCTCTAACTCCCGCTCTAACTCCCGCTCTAACTCCCGCCCTCACTCCCGCTCTAACTCTCGCTCTAACTCCCGCTCTAACTCCCGCTCTAACTCCCGCTCTAACCCCCGCTCTAACTCCCGCTCTAACTCCCGCTCTAACTCCCGCTCTAACTCCCGCTCTAACTCCCGCTCTAACTCTCGCTCTAACTCTCGCTCTAACTCTCGCTCTAACTCTCGCTCTAACTCCCGCTCTAACTCCCGCTCTAACTCCCGCTCTAACTCCCGCTCTAACTCCCGCTCTAACTCCCGCTCTAACTCCCGCTCTAACTCCCGCTCTAACTCCCGCTCTAACCCGCTCTAACTCCCGCTCTAACTCCCGCTCTAACTCCCGCTCTAACTCCCGCTCCAACTCCCGCTCCAACTCCCGCTTTAACTCCCGCTCTAACTCCCGCTCTAACTCCCGCTCTAACTCCCGCTCTAACTCCCGCTCTAACTCCGGCTCTAACTCTCGCTCTAACTCCGGCTCTAACTCCCGCTCTAACTCCCGCCCTCACTCCCGCTCTAACTCCCGCTCTAACTCCCGCTCTAACTCTCGCTCTAACTCCCGCTCTAACTCCGGCTCTAACTCCCGTTCTAACCCCCGCTCTAACTCCCGCTCTAACTCCGGCTCTAACTCCCGCTCTAACCCCCGCTCTAACTCCCGCTCTAACTCCCGCTCTAACTCCCGCTCTAACTCCCGCTCTAACTCCCGCTCTAACTCTCGCTCTAACTCCGGCTCTAACTCTCGCTCTAACTCCCGCTCTAACTCCCGCTCTAACTCTCGCTCTAACTCTCGCTCTAACCCCCGCTCTAACTCCCGCTCTAACTCCCGCTCTAACTCCCGCTCTAACTCCCGCTCTAACTCCCGCTCTAACTCCCGCTCTAACTCCCGCTCTAACTCCCGCTCTAACTCCCGCTCTAACTCTCGCTCTAACTCTCGCTCTAACTCTCTTGTGCATTAGCATTCGATACAAGAGGTCAAAAAACACAATTAAATTAGACTTGGCCGGATCCATATTAAAACGTCAATACATCGATGCAGACCAGGTTTAGAAAATTAGATTCTCACACAAACCCAAATACACGCTACATGTTCCGTCGAGCCACCGCAGCGAATGGAAATCTCTCCTTTGAGTTCAGTTGTGTGAAAACCTCTTTAGCCTAAAAGTACGTTTGTCTTTTGCCAGGGTCCATCTAACATCGGACTAAATAGATCCACAGGCGGAAACGGTGGTCGCCTAGGAAACCGGAGCCACTCATTTGTCGTGATGTGGAAGGACCTCAATGTTCCCATTAACGCTGGCACTCACTCCACTCACTCCAGACACGCACTAAAGAAGGATAAAAAAACTTTGAAACCGGAAAATCTATCATCATTGTTTCGAGAAAAGAACAGTGGTTTACGATCGACAAAGACCTGGAGGACGTCCGTACAAGGTTGAGAAACAGCTTGGACACGACGGTTTACGAGAGAGGAAAATATTACAGCCGGGATAATGACGCTTTGTGAATTGTTTAAGAGGAAGTAACAGGCGATGGAGCGTCTTGTTCAAATTAAAAGGTCAACTGTAGAAAAAAGACCCAGAAACAGACTCAATAATGAGACGTGATTTACAACTGAGATACACATTTGTGAGTTCACTATTGACCCCGTGCATGTGACCTTCAGGCCACGCCCACTCTCCATGACAGACGGCGGGAGTCTAACTGCGAGCCTTCAGAAACTTGACCAAAACAACCCTGTTTCACCCAGTGGGGGCGGGTCCCGGCTCAAAAGTGGCCAAAATTATGTGCGCTGACATGCTGCAATACCACCCCAGGCCGATGGGGGTGGACCCAGAAATATAAGAATTAGCCAATGCTAACATATAGCATCTTCTTACGTCTCGAAAACACCTTTACAGGATGGTCCAAAAGTTGGCTCTTGGCCCAAAGCTCCGATCCACATGTGTGTCAATGCTGAGGGGGGTGTTCTGGACCAGTCTAGTTTAGTCGCTGTGAATTTTTGAAGTCACTTGTGTAAATAAATGGATCTCGTGCAGCTGACACATGCGCAGATGCGTTTATTCACATTCTTCCCCCGCGGCCATTTTGAATCACTCGATGAAAGCCCAATTTTTGGCCCATTGGTTAGAACGGCGGAGATAGGCGTGTCTATAGCCATCCAAGTTCTCCCAAATACGCAGTGAACACTTTTTACAAGATAAATAAATCACAATTTTGTATTTATTTTCTTTCCATTCATTTATTTAGAGGAAAATGACACAACGAACACTTGAGGTCAAATGTGTGTTCTTAACCCTGTCCTGTCTGTGCGCTGCAACAATGAATTTTCCTCACTGTGGCACGAATTAAAGATCTCTGTCAGTTGCATTTTTCTCCATTTTTCTCTCCGTCAATATGTATCATCACTTTCACCGATAGCGTAATCGAACATGAAGCAGCCACTTCTGGATTTAGGAGTCTCAGTTTTTAAGAGTTACAGTCCGTTTTGTTCTCGCCACAATGCTAAAGCTAATGCTAATGCTAGTTTCCACTACTTCCGCCGTAAGTTCATACACAATGGATGACGTTGATGCCTCTGGTTAATAGAGAGATGAAATATGCTCTGACCGTCTCACATTTACGTTTGGATTTGACACGAAAAAGTGCTTTTTGATTAGTTCGAGACATAAAAAACTCCCTCTGGTGGCAGCATAGTGATACAGGCATATGTATTTTTTTACCCTTCATTTTTTTAAACCTTGTTTTATCATATATTTCCCTCTAATTTTACATTGGAAAACATACACTTGCAACGTAAATAATCTCATGATTGTTTTTCATTACCAAAATAATACATAATATTTCTTCTGTCACTCTTGATTGCAAAGTTGAGATGTAGCTGATAGTTAACAACCACATCCTTCAAACTTTCTTGAAAACGTCAATGTTTGTAGTAATTATTGAAGGATTTGAGGAGAGTGCGATGCTCTTAATTGAAGTCTCATCCTGAGTCTCTGGACGACGACGTTAAATCAATCAGTGCAAAAAAGCATGAGCCGGAATCCATGCTTTGACAATCCAGGAGTGAAAACCCGAGCACTCAGCAAACGCACCATCGATTGTCCACAAAGACCTGAAAACACCGCTGCATCCTGGACTGACCCGCCCACGGACCTGACCACGGACCCAGCCACAGACCCAGCCACAGACCAGGCCACTGACCAGGCCACAGACCCAGCCATGGACCAGGCCACGGACCAGGCCACTGACCAGGCCACAGACCCGACCACGGACCAGGCCACAGACCAGGCCACTGACCAGGCCACGGACCCAGCCACTGACCAGGCCACAGACCCGACCACTGACCAGGCCACGGACCCAGCCACAGACCAGGCCACAGACCTGACCACAGACTAGGCCACTGACCAGGCCACAGACCCAGCCACAGACCAGGCCACTGACCCAGCCACAGACCAGGCCACTGACCCAGCCACAGACCAGGCCACTGACCCAGCCACAGACCAGGCCACGGACCCAGCCACAGACCAGGCCACGGACCGGGCCACGGACCTTAGGCTGTATTTATTTATAATTGTTTTGTTTTCATTCTTTTATTAAGAATTTTCATAGTTTATAAAGAAAAAATCAAGAACATTTAGAGGACAGGGAGTGATCGATAAATACCAAGTTACTTCTTTAAAGAAACAAGGGAATGATTTAGATTTTAAGTATTAAATGGCGTCTCTTTGCATTGGTGTGTGTTCCCCACTTACTCCAACAAGAATCAAACCAACCGTGTGTCATTAACATTCGCCGTCAGCTCTTCCATCTTATACATTTCTAAAAATATTTCCCACCGTTGCCTCAAAGTTGGTATGTCCAGAGAGAACCATTGTTTTGTTACGGCTTTTTTGCGAGCAATAAGCAAGGCACTGAACAGACACGTGTCCTCTTTTCTAAACTTTTTTGTGTTTGTCGCATTGAGAAATCTTGTTATAAAACAGTCAAAATGTGCTCAATTTCAGATTTTGTTGTTGTTTTTTTATTTTAACGATCGATTGACACCTCACTATTGCTCCAGGGGGTGACAGTGGCTCAGTTGGTAGAGCATTGGCCTTTGAGCCTGAAGGTCGTGAGTTTTGTGTTTCTGATCTCGCAGTGAAATTATGGAATAACAGAAGATTTGTCCTTTTGATTTGACACACATCACCTTTGATTTAGTTGTTTTTTCTTGACTCTAAACTCTATTCCACTTGGATTTCCTCCCTCGTTTGTTGAGTCCTTGAGGTTTAACAGCGATAACAAGTTGAGACAAAGTATGTGACGCTGCGGTCGTGTCCAGTCTGCTCCAAACCCGTTGAACCGACAGAACCGGCCTCTTCTGTGTTTGGAGTTGGCATCTGCCCTGAAAACATGTGCGTGACTGTGGATGTAACGACAGGAAGCCGCACAGTCAATAACTGTAGCTCCAACTAATGAACCTAATGAATGAATCCAGGTTAGGACACACGGGGGCGGGGCAGAATGTGTGGTAATGATAGTAATAATAATAATAATAATAGTAATGCATTGGTTTTATACAGCGCTCTACAAGTTTTTACTTTCCTCCCTTCGCTCCATTTCCAGCTGTACAACTTGTAAATAGAAATGCATTTTAAATATATATTTCAATTATAAAACACATGGTGAAACTAGGGCCAATACTGCTGATTGGGTCCACAGGTAACACTAACCCCGAACGAATAGGGCTGAAGTAAACAAACTTGTTTCACTTACGGGTAATCGATTGACACCGAAATTTATTAAATATATAATAAAAAAAGGTTAATTATTGCATTTTCTAGTTCCCAAATCTGGTTATTATAATATATATGTCTTATAAGCAATGAAAAAAACAAAATGGTAATTTTTCTATATTGTTGTGTGCCTGAATTATTATTATCATTATTATCATAATTATTATCGTTATTATGATCATTATTATTATTATTATTATCATTATTATTATCATTATGATTATTATTATTATAATAATAATAATTATTATTATTATTATTATCGTTATTATGATCATTATTATTATTATTATTATCATTATTATTATCATTATGATTATTATTATCATTAGTATAATTATAATTATTATTATCGTTATTATGATCATTATCATTATTATTATTATTATCATTATCATTATTATTATTATTATTATTATCATCATTATTATCGTTATTATGATCATTATTATTATTATTATTATTACCATTATTATTATTATTATTATCATTATGATTGTTATTATCATTATTATTATTATTATTATTATTATCGTTATTATGATCATTATTATTATTATTATTATTGTTATTATGATCATTATTATTGTTATTATTATTATTATTGTTATGATTATTATTATTATCGTTATTATGATTATTATTATTATTATTATTATTATTATTATTTTTATTATTTTTATTATTATGTAACATGTGTCAGTGATATCTTCTCTGTGTTGAAAACAATCCAACTGACTTCTGTTTTGCTGTTTTTCGTTGTTTGCAGCCTAACCCTAACCCTGTTCAGCCAAAACCAAATTCAACATTTTACATTTTCCATTTCCGCACAAAATCATCTCCTTCTTCTTTTAGCTCTGAGGACGGAGCTGGACTTTTCCTGGACTGGTTCTCTGTGGGTCCAGTTCTCGAGTCCTGGCAGAAGCTCAGCAAAAGTTGGTCTTACGTATTTATGTAGATTATTTATTTACGCCGTAACCATGGGCCTGAGATAAACATGCCTGGTTTCTGCTGAGGAAAACCAGAAGCGACTTGGAGGAAACTCAGGAGGAGGAGTAGGAGGATGAGGAGGTGGAGGTGGAGGTGGAGGAGGAGGAGGAGGAGGAGGTGGTGACCACTGGGACCAGACAGACACGAGACTCGGGTCAAGATCCAGAGCACGGCCTCAATCCACCCCCAGCACTGGGATTTTAACCCCTTCAAGGTTTTTGATATTTTAAAGGAGCAGTTTGTAAACATGTGGCCAAAAGTGGTACTGCAGCCTCTCCCACTCTCCCTGACTCAGGTTGCCAGATATGCAGACGAATCCAGCTGGGACCATAACAGCTGAATAGACAAGAGTTTTGTCAACAACAAATCTATAACCAACACCTTTTTCACAAAGATAGAAATCCTGGTTTTATTCCTTGTTTTGTCGTTAATGATTTGAGAATCATAACGAGACCTTTTTTAGTTCTGCGCCACATGGTACTTTACCAGTGAGATTAGCTCCACGCGGTGAGTTCTGGCGCCCGGATCACAGACTTTCTGATTGGTGAAACGGTGGAGGGCGGGACATCGAACTGAAAACAATAACAAGATTTAGAAGCTGTGAAACTAATTTGAAATGTTGTTATCAGTTAAAGCCCTTGATAGATTAGGGCCCTTTAATTATGACCTGACATAAAAATATCTCCTTTAAGTACATAAGTGCTTTGGCTCAATCTCCAAACAAGTGTACGAGTAAAAAGGTCATGCATAAAAAATGTCTCAGCATTTCTTAAATTAACAATGAATTTCAATGTATTCTTGTATCGCTCTAAATCCCAACAGTAGTTATTTTTGAGGACTTTACCAAACCGTTGAATTCTCCAAAGTCCAATGTCCATAAAAGTTGATTAATGTCCATAGATAATTATATACAAGTGCACAAAGTACGCAGTATCAACATTTATCAACATTGTCCAATAAAAAGGCTTGATATATGTCTCACTTCCTGTAAGGAGTCTATATCATATACTAGCTTCACATTGTAAGCTAACACAATGCTAAGCTAATATTGCTAAATGTAACTTACAATTCTATAAATAACACATTTTAAATTACATTTTTACTTTTGAACGATAATCCCAGTTTCTCCGGTCGAACCACGAAACAATAAAAAGGCCATCACCTCATATCGGAAAAAACCACAAATACAGGAAGTTTCAGATTAACAAACAAAACAAGGCTCTCATCACATGGTCCAAGGTCCGGCCGGGTCTCAATCCCGACTCCTTGAAGCCGGATGAGGACTATAGGCCCAGATTACAGATGCATTTAATCAACTCTCCTTCCTCCCTGCCTCTGCAACGGTCCATTCATCTGACAGGAAAAATGACTTCCAACTTTAAAAATAGCCCAACAAAGTGTCGGAGGACTATTTTGGGAGGCGAGGTGATTTATGACAAAGGAGGAGGCTCAGAGTGCAGTGTAAAACAAGTGGGAAGCAAGTCGGAGAAAAGAAACATATGACACGGCAGCGGGACGGAGAGAAATGTGTAAATATAGATAAGCACCGCATATAATTAGACTTTTTCACAATTTATTTCACACCAACAGGTTGAGCTGCAGCGAGGCAGGTTTCTTTTCTTCCAATTTCTCCCAGAATGGAATGCGGTGGGCAGTTTGTGAATGGGACTTGTTTTGTATTCCGGTTTTTCAATATGATTCAATCGTTTAACAAGTTTCGGAGACATTTTTTTTAGTATTTCTAGGGATCAGCAAAATGTACAGATGTGTATTTGATTATATAGTTTCAAAGTTAATGTCTTTATGTATTATTCATATGTTAAAGAAATTTATAATCTAGATTTATGACATGCACAGTGAGATATGAGCTTGTTTGTTGTAATGCGTTTGGATATGGCGATAAACCCAGAATAAAGGTATTTTATTTCAACTATATATTTTTTACAAGCTTTGAGCGAATTCTCCCTCTGGACCAATGACTCCAATGATTCTTGTTCCAACTGTTGGATTCTCTGATCTGTTGTTGGCAAATCGACAACTCATTTCCTCTGAAACGACTGCTGTCCAGGGCTGTACAAAAATACATTGAATTAAACGACCAACATTATAACAAATAAATACACATCTCACTCTGCGTATAATAAGTCATTCATTAATTTGACAGTGGAAGTCAAAAAACAGACGTAAATGGACTTTCGACCGGTATTGTAATTTCTGAGTTTCACTTGTAGACTCCGACCCAAAAATGAAATTTGTAAATTAAAGGTATATAGGAGAATTTTCTACTTCCGAGTGGATCATTAAGATTATTGGTCCTTCCAACTGTCACTCATTCTGGTGATACGTGCTCATCAAATAAGACCAGAGAGTTTTGTTCAAAAAGTAGAGAGGGCGGTTCTTTCCTAAAAATTGGGAAAATCCTCCAATAAACCTTTAAGTCGGGGTGTCCAAACCTTTGAGCAAGCGGGCCACATTAGTTCATCAGACTTGACCTGGGGCTGACAACCTGGATTAAAAAACTGGATCCGAGCTTTACTGGATTCTGGATTTTCAAATGTTTTGTGATACGCAGCTTATTGATTCACAGCTACATTTTATTTGGAAAAACAAAACAAATGTGAGTTTATAACA